AAAAAAACCCCAAAAACCAAAAAAAAAAAAAAAAAAGAAAAAAAAACCCTAAATTTTTTAGAGCCCAGTCTGCTTTACAAAGCAAGCTAACAGTTTCCTTTCTTATGCCTGAAGCTTTGCAATCACTGTGTTTCTGAACTGTATTTTTTCATTAGTCTTATGCTTCCAAATATAATCTATTATTTGGCAGCAAAGGCAGCAAAACATTTGTTCCCTCTCAGTACAGCTGCAACCCATTGGATTTAAAAAATGGTACTGGCTATCCAGCAGTCCTCTATCATGTTGATTTTTCCATGGAAACAGCATTATATTTTCCTTTGGGGGGGTGGGAGGGTGGTGCTGGGAAAAGGATGGAGAAATGCATTTCCAGTGTTTTTTGCTTTTCATGTTCTCATCCACCTACACACAGATAGAAGGGATTAGACTGGACTCCCCAAGAACAATACTTGATAAATACCTATTTTTTTCAAAATCTCACACAAATACACACCTTTTTTTTTTTTTTTAAGGAATTTGTTCTTTAATTATATGCCTGTTTTTAAAAATCGACTTCAGCAATCTTTTGCTATATGGTCACAAATATTTCAGAATAACCTCTGGAAACAGAGGCTATTCTGAAAAAAAAAATAAAATTCTGAGGCAAAGCCCAAAGTTGATGAACAAAAATTAAGAAACAAAAACTAACAGAAAAAAAGGGAGAAGTCAACTTCAAGCACTTTTAAGTTAACTGAATTATTTGGTTATGGCTATGAGACAAAAGTGTAGAGATTTGGTAGTAACATTATGTCTTTCAGTCAGAAATCACAACCTTAGAAACTATGAATCAATATAGATGGCAAAATTATTGGCATTTCTATTTTCTTTTTTTTTGCTAGAGAAACACTAATTGCAATAAGCAGAGCTTGCCATCCTGGTAAATAAATGCCTCCTCAGTTATGTACTACATCCAGTCTGGAAAGAGTTCTCTTCACATAGCAGTAACTGAAGTGTTTTGAGACTTCAGTTCTGATACTCCAGTGAATTACAGATCATCATTCCTTCTTTGTAGTTGCATCAGAGCAACACATATTTAAAAAGTGCTGAAAACTAATTTTGCTGAAACTTTTTGCTCTCTGCTCTTTCCTTTGAATTCTCTATTTCAGTCTATTAGGATTTATGGCCAAAAGGTAACTGGAGATTGTTCACTTGATTTCTTCCCTTGCTCTTCTGCTTGACGTCCCATTGACAAGACACAGGGGTCACATAAACCTGAATTTCTGCCTGGATTAATGTCATGACAAAAGTCTTACATAATGAGCACACACTTAACAGCTACTTTGTTTAGCACCATGGATTTTGACTGACTTATTGGATGAAGCTGTTTCTAGTGTGTTATGCAACACTAGAATTTTTCTTTCATATCATCATCATCATCATCCTACTTTGGAATAAAATTTCAAGGCTTGAAGAGGTTTCTTCACTTGAGACACAGAACCAGCATGACAGAACCAGAGCACAGGAACAGGAAGACATTCCCACCTCCAAGTAGAGACCAGCTATGTGTTGTTTATTCCCCTACAGCTTATTGCTACAGAGTTTTACCTTTTTTTTTTTTTTGAACCTCATTGTAGGTGAAAGCTACAAAATAATTTAGACCATACTTTTGTGTAGCATTGGATTTCTATTCTGCAATTTCACTGCAACATTAAAGTCCTCCAGGACAGAATGATATTGCTCCTAAGACACCATCACGTTATATAGAGATGAGCAAAATCCAGCATTACAATGAGGCCTGAAACCTTTAGAACCTTTATTAAACTGACATTATTTACGTGACTGTTCATGACCTTTTGTGGAGTCTTAGTACTTCATTAAAAGTAAGTTATTCTACTGTTTGGCAACTTCATACTGTTAAGAATATACAGTTATAGCCTTTTCTCTGGTCTCTTTTCTTCAATTACCATTTTTTGATAGCTTTATATCCTGGTGTATTTCTCAAAATCATTGTCCAATTTGCACAATTCAAATCACTCTGCTTTTTGACCTTGCTTCATGTTCCACAGTAGGAACACACTTTAATTCCCAATAATCCCGCTGTGTTCATATTCTAAAGTGACAGAACTCAAATGTACATAAATGGCAATCAAATCCTTACAGAATTTCTGAAACTACTTCTCATTTCCTAATTACCTTCCCTGCTTTGCTTGCAGTTCCCATCCGTTACCACCCCTCCCCAGCAGCACACTAATTGTTGTGACCCCATTTCCCAGGACAACATTAGGTACCCAATGAGGTGGCAGTGCCAGTGCTCAGCCAATTTTCCTCCCCTAAGATATTGTCAACAAGATCATAAGTGTTACTGAACAAGTAAGCAAACACTTCATTATTCCTGGCCCTCCAAAATAAATCAAATCCATCACATGCGTAATTACTACAGAAAACCAACACGGCTCCAGGAACAGCCTCCTGCATCCTCATTTTTATTTGGATTTACCTAGCACAGAAGTTCTTTGTGGCTCTCACTAATGACACCTGGTTTGCAATCTCACCTGTGGTATTTATCCTGAGTAACAAGTTCTTGTTTATTTACACTTTTATTTTACATCCTCAGTGTTGATTTGATAGAAGCAAATGAAAAGTAGCAGTTGCTACATTCTGTGCAAATTTGTCTGCTGTAATAGAATTGGCTTGGAAGGGATCTTAAGGATAATCTCATTCCAACAGCCTGTCACAGGCAGGGAGACCTTCCACTGGACCCAGTTGCTCACAGACCCATCCAACCTGGCCTTGAATACTTCCAGGGATGGGACAACCACAGTTTCTCTGGACAACCTAATCTCTCAGGGGAACTCTGAGTACAAAAACTGTGTATGTTCTCTTACCTCACGTTGGTGGCCCATCACAACAATACCCAGCATCTCCATCAACAGTAGCCAAAGTTTAGAACTATTCTGAAGACAGACCTGTATAATGCCATCACTGCAGGAGACACTTCCTGGTAGTTCTGCAATGAAAGCCAGTTTTAGTGTTTGAAGTATCAACGAATGTCACGAGCAACCTGACAATTATTGTTTAGTCAGATTGCTATAAAATCCAACACTCAGTTCCATTAGACAGCATTCCCTGGGCAATAAGCAAACCCTGACCAAGCTATGGCTGTATTTTGCAGTTGTTAATAAGTCAGTTAGCATCACTACAGGACAGGAAAGTTATTTTCAAGAGATGACCATTTCAATTTATGTTTCCAATACAATTAACACAGGATGATTTATATGACAAATAGAATGGACTGTGCCACCCACAGGTTGGGCATTTCGGGTTTGTTTCCCTGGTTGATTCGGTGTTTTGATTGCTGGGTTTTATTTTATATGCCTAATTCTCAGAATATTTGTACCAAACAAGAGTTGTTTAAAAATAAATAATTAGGAAGAAAATGGATTCCAAGTAAGATTTTCACTACTGGCATCTTTATTTTTCGCACACCAATGGGACACTTCTGAAGAAGTGGTATTTTAGAAATAGGTTAGCTATCTAAGATAATTGTCATTCAAATAACAATTAAAATTTCTGTTAGAACAGTTTAAGGACCAGCTTAACTGCTGTTAATTTGCACATCTTTCTAGATTGTTGCATGAGAGTTCACCTAAGTGTTATTGAACTTGAGCTAAAATAGTAGTTTAAATAATTTACCTTATTTCAGTAGAGAGAAAAAAAATTGATAAGGAAGCAACTTACAGAAATTTAAGCTACTTGTAGCTGCAAGCAATCACAGGAATATACTCACATGACTAGTCTTCATTGTATAACAAGTTCCATAGAGATTGTTATTAGTCACAGATAATAATTCCCACTGTTACAGAAAATCTGTGCTCAAAATAGTACCTCCCAAGGAAAAATTTCATTGCAAACACAATAAGACTTGGGATGACAATCCTCAAGTTGGGGAATTGGGAAGAAAAATTGAGAACTTGCCCACAGTCATCTGTCATTTAAGGAAAATCAACAAAGCAAACAGAGCTATCTGCAACATAATTTAGGAGATACAATACTACAGCAGGGGGGAAATACCTTGTATGAACTATAGAAAAATGAACATATTTACCTTTTTATGTTCAATTATAAAAGTATGGTTTTAAGCTCACTCGAAGTATTAATGGGCTCCAGATTTTGGCTCTAACAAGTGAGAAACTGATTTTATGGCTTAAATGAAGAGAAATTTTTACAGGATACATTAGATAGATTCAGAAGGGAAATTAACATGTTAGATAGCAAGTTCATCACTACCTAGCAACAGAAGCAACTTTAAATATGTAATCTTAGCTCCACTGTGCTCTTATCAGTATGGTTTAACGTGTGAAATCTCATTAACGGAGAACAACATGCTTCCCAGGGAGAAGGAAGCACATTTAGTGTTTACTACGGAGGACTAAAAAGAATACAAACAAGAACATTCCATTGCTGATAATTCTTAACTTGCCTAACTGAAGAAAACAGGTACAAAAATGGTTGATGGAGCTATCATCAGGGGGCAGATGTTACCTTATTAGCAAATACAGAGTGGCATCTTAGCTCTCAGTTTCCAAGGCAGGTCAAGACCAGAGACCTGGGATTGAGCACCCTGAGCATAACTAGGAAAGTACATAGAAGCATAGATAAAGAGGAATGTGCTTATTGGTATGTTTTGCTCCTTTAAATCCGAGGAAATTATCTAGATACATAGTAAGGACATAAACCAAAGAACATGTTCTCAGCAGAAGATTTAAATGTCTGTATTAAAGTAGTATTAAGCTGCATTTATGACCAACTCACTTTCATATATCTCCACATGATCCATTAAGAAACATTCTTTCAACAGAAAAAGTCACCACATACCAAGCCAAACACCAGCAAAACAACTAGTAAGTACATGAAGTTGATTCATTGGAGTGATTCCTGAAATGTGATCATGTGGACAAAACTACACTGCAGAGCTGATGAAACACTGCTTGGTTAAGCAAGATCACTTCACGAAGAGACTTTGCCTGTAACACTTTTATCAAAACATATGTACCCCTAGTAGGTGATGTTGCCACTGTTGTGGCAGCAGGTGCTGTATCTAAGAAACCCAAATGGCTGACATGCAGTGTTAAGTTACCCATGTTTTTGTCAGATTCAAACTAGTACAACCTGAACAACTGCATTTACCATCCATGACTCTCTCCATGGAAAAAGGTGTCTAATATACCAAGTTCACAGGAGTGAGAACTGTATCTCGTGGCCATTCCCACCAGTGGACACACACAGTTTCACATCTTAAAATAATTAAAGTACACTACTCCGAATTCATTTTGGATGAAATTAAATCAGGGGATGTGCTCAAGTAACACACCTGACATATCCTAATTACTATACTGTTTTTGAACCTATGGGACCAAACTAAAACTAGTTTTAAGCCAGTGTTGCCTTCCCACCCTAAATGCAGAGATGTCATCTGCAGTGTCTTTCTGCACAGAGCTGCTCCTACTTCACCACAATAGCTGCTAATAGTCACAGTCAAAGTTTGATTGTCTTCTGGAACATCTCCAGAATTGATCTTGGCACAATTTCTGCAAAAAAAGCAAGCCTGTTTCAGCAGGCACTAAGCACAGGCTTCAGCCATCTGGATGGACTTCATCAGTATATTGACAATAGATGCTAATATAGTTAAAAGTAATGAAAATGCTTGTGATTATTCTGCTTCATTCACTAATCTTGTGTTGCTAAGATTACTGTATTGTTCAATTGTTACTGCATTGTTCAACACTTACTGCATAAAAATGGCGCTTGGATGAAAGGTCATCCCAAGAAGAGGAACTGGTTTGCACTTTTGTGCTAATATAGATTGCCTTTACAGCTGCACCTTTTCACATTTAACTGTCTCACAATATCATGAAAATTCAGGCCTTGGAATGACAAACACACCTTCGGTATTTCTGAAACAAGTAGCCACTGACTTGTCCCAGTGCTTTCAGCTGATTACATCATTTTCTTGACTTTAATTAGGTTAAATAAGCAGAGTAAGTTTCTTGTCTATTGTGACTAAAACAATTCAACATTTAAGATTTAACCAAATTTGAAACTAGTCCTTTATTTCATCTGAGACTGAGCAGATCAACAAGTAAACGATTTAGGGCTTAACAGCTGACTCAAGTACAAATTCTGATAATTCACAGTTATCAACTGACCCTTTCATCCAAATAGACAACCATTAAGCAACTCTTATATTGCCAGAAGAAAAAATGCACAGTCTTAAAAAATGCTTTCAATTTGAAAGCATTTTTATCAGTTCAGTGAACTTTAGTTACAGAGTTCTTGATATTTTTCTGGACCTTTATTTTGCACTGTTACTTCCTTAGCAAAACATGGCTGCTTCTTGTCACTTGAAAAAAAAAAGGTAGCTATCTCCTATCAGTAATGCAGGATTATTCATTCCTCTGGATTCAGTGTATTTGTTATGAGTTTCATCAAATGAACTTTTCAAAGATTCATCATAAGGATTTTTATTATGTTTACAGTTGCTGAAATAGTTCAGTTTATTACTAGTGCTTGCTGTTGAAAGGCTGATATTTCAGTTTAACAGGTCTATCAGTTCTCAAGTTTGTAACAAATATCAGAATATAATTTTAAGCTTCATATTTTTCTACTTATTGGCTTTGCGTAGGATTTTACAGCTTAAAAACAAGTGTGATATTTAAATCATGGATTGTGTATTCAGAATACATTTGTAAAATATGAAAATGAAATAAAATGAATGGGACTGTAACACTGTTTTTTTTCAGTGTGAATAATATACCTCTCTTTTACCTTAACCTCATTTATTATCTTGGGTAATATTACTTTACTCATGGGCAAAAAGATTTTCCACTTGACTCTGGTCACACATGAAAGTTTCACTGTCAGTCCTGATGAAGATAGTTTTAAAGAAAAATTTAATCAAGATTTTTTGACACCAGAACTTAGAGGGAAACTAGACTATGACTGGAATTGTGAGTGCAGTAATCTACATGATTACCATTCATGTTGTTCAAGCTGCACACAGCTTGAACGCCAGTGTCCCCATTCCCCCCCTACTCCTACCTGACAAATTGGTTTTCTCTCTCCTTGTGTTAGTTCTTGTCCCCTCAGCCTGTTCTTGCTCACCTGCCCATAAGGAAAGGAAAGATAACTGCAAAGTATCACTGTATTTGTAGGTCTGGATATTGAATCCTAGAAAAATTTGGTTTGGAAGGGGCCTAAAAATCATCATGTTCCACCCTCCTGCCATGGACATGGACAAATTCTACTATATCACATTGCTCAAAGTCCCATCCTATCTGTCCTTGAACACTTCCAGGGATGGGGAGCCTACAGCTTCTCTGGGCAACCTGTTCCAGTGCCTCATCACCCTTACAGTAAAGAATTTCTTCCTAATATGTAATCTAAACCTATCCTCCTTCAGCTTAAGGCCATTCCCCCTTGTCCTATCACTACATGCCCTTGTCACAAGTCCCTCTCCAGCTGAACAGCCCCAACTCTCTCCATTTGCTTGATAAATCTGAAGTACTGTGCACACAATCGTACACATCATTTCTTTTAAATATATACATAGATATTTACATATTTTTTTACTTGATCGTGACAAAGGTCTACACCTACAGCATTCTTAGACAGCACTTGTCTAAACACAAACTCTCCCTTCCCCAAACCCCACTGCACAGGATGAGAATCAGAAAAACCATACCCTACTTCAAAAATATTTCATCCCACACCTCTCCTGCCTCACTCCTTCCGACTGCTGGAAGCGCTGTTGTCACCGGGAGTGACGCTCTGCTATTCCCCAGGAGCAGTCCTCCAGCAGCTCCTGTCATTCAGATGATAACTTAAAAGCCCCATTATGTTAGAAGAAGCAAATGCTCGAAGTTTCATTTTCTCAGAAGGAAACTTCTGCAGGGTAAGAAAAACAAAGAGACTTGTCAGCTGAGCCTGTATTAA